TGTAATAACTCATGTGTGATAGGCCAAAGACATAGCCACTGCAGGTGGCTCACCTGGTAAATTGCTGAAATGCCTTTCTTGTTTTTCCACCTGCAAATGGGGCAGCAAAATAGGTGGGGGTAGATAACAGCTGGCAGATTTTGGCTTGACCCTGTTTTTGTACCTAACTGACCTCACTTTCAGTGCTGAGGTCCGAGTGTTGAAAAATGTTCCTGTCTTGCACTCAAACCAGCCTTGTAGATTTGCATGCTGCAATAATGAATATGTTTGTTGTTGTTTGTTGTTATACTTGTTTAATATTTAAAAATCAATAAATATATATTTAAATGGCCTTGTAGATAAGATCCCCAAATTTACTACATGGAAATCATCATCGTCATCATCATCATCATCCTCTGCACTGATAGAGGAGTGATGGAAAGCTATATTTCTAGGTAGGGTGAGAAGAGGTGGCTTCACTCATTTACTTGCCTGCCTGGTTTCTTAGATCAAGGATTCCACCTCTATCATTCCAGCCCAGCCACTCACTCACTTGCATGCAGTTCCTGGCCATTAATGGCTAACAGACTTAAATATAAGGTTGCCTCAAAGTCTGGTGCCCTTCAAGTGAAAAAGCCCTACCAAAGGGCTTTGAGTCGAGTAGCCAGCTGATGCAGTAACTCTAAATCTTTGGTGTTCTACCGTAAAAAGGGCCAATAAATCTCTGATTTTAAAGAGAGCTGTGGCTACTTCTTGTTAACATTTTTTTACTCCTATTGTAGAGAGGATGGACTCTCTGAGCTTTAGACTATCTAAATATAGTTTCCAAATACTATGACTTTCAGAATTTCATGTTGGGAATCTTAGGTGACATACCCATGCAGCAGACATGTTGCCCCCAGTTCCAATCACCACACAGGCAAATTAAGGTCCAAATAGTTTACCGTTGCAAAAGATAAAAGGCTTCAGTAATACAGTTTTGGATATGTATACAGCTTGTAGGCTTTGCAGATACATATAAATACTAATAATTTCTGTTGGTCCAGCAATTTAAGACATAACACAGACTACGACTCCCTTCTCAAGACTCGCTAATGAGTTGACATGCTATAATCACTTGGCCGTTGCCATAGTAACTAGCTTGGCTGACCATGCACCTGTTGGTTTTATTTCATATATAGGGTGATTTATGCCCATGAAGGAAGTTGACTCCTTCCTCTGTGTCCAGTTCCTCAAACATTTCAAACTGGTTTAACTTTCATAAGTGTCCTCCAAGTAGCCCTGCCTAAGCACCATAGATTTGTGATGGAGCAGGGAATCTTTTGTCCCCTTGCAAAACTACGGCCCCTAGAGATCACTGGGGCAAACAGCTGAGTCGGGTTTTGAATTGGTATGTTAGTTTGGATATAAATGAAGCTCTGACTGCAAGTCACAGTAGTTGGTAGCCCTTGCTTCTAACTGCCAAAATTGCATATGGTAGAAGTAGTAGTAGTATTTGATTTTGACCTATAAACAAACACACACCCCTCCAATGGTTTCCACACACACTTTCCATTCACTGCCTTCACTGGTATTAAAGTCTGATGTGCCGTCACTTCTTGAAGACTGTGGACCACCCAACCCCAAAAGAAAAAACCTGTGAGGACTTCACCATCAACTCTTTTAGCATTGGCCACTGGATGTATTAAAAGGATCGTCGTTGTTCCAGAGCATTTTAACTCCATAGAGCTTGATAGACACCCTTTACTAGGGAGAAGCCCCAGCTTCTTAGAGCTACTTAAACCCTTCACAGTAATGGGCTTAAAAAAGAATCTGACCAGTCAGCACAGCCTTTGCTGAGCAGAAACCACATTTTCTCAGCAGGTAGCCTCTAATTGTCAATGTGGGATGATCTGCAACTGCCTGCCATGTGGGCTAACAGCTTGCAATCCTTTTGAAGTCTCTGCCTTTTATTTTATTGTCTTTTTTATTTTGTCTTCCTGGCCACAGAATAGTGCCTCAGGCCAGCAAGAGAGATTTCTTGTTAAGAGGACTCTGAGGTTTTGACTAGCATGTCTGATCCAGAAAAGAGACCGTGTTCTTTGGAGATCAGGGCTGCATAATTCTGTTGCCTTAAGGGGACTGAGTGTTTTCCTATGTTCCCCCCACTCCCCTTTCCTTCCCTGCTGTGCTAAACTGTCATAGTAAATCATTTTAAAAACTAGAAATGCAAAACCTCCAGAGATAGGGCATGCTGCTTCAGAATGGATACCTTATTATTTCAAGAAGGACTTGGGGGCGTGGGAGGGTTTGGAAATGGATGGTTACTTCACCTGGCTCCCGGCAGGCTTCCAGTGAAGTGGAAACTAACACAGGCGAAGCTGCTCTCAGCATATACAGTACTCTGCAGCCTTCTGTTTTTGTCTAGGGAAATGAGCTTGGCGGAAAGAGATCCAGGCTATGCCCCCGCTGCTGCCTGTGGTCTGACCCTGGGCAGGTTCTTTTGCTTCTGCATTTCCTCTGTTCCTCCTCCACTTGTTTCTCTTGTCTTCCTTAGAGGCATGGAATTCGTCAGCGAGATGAAATATTTTATTGAGGCCAACCAGTAATGGAGATGGCTAATTAGATTTCCTTTTGGCCGGGAGTGGGTGGTTCTTGCTGGATCTCAGTTTACACAAATGAAAAGTAAAATGGAAAAAAAAATCAAATGAAAATAGTCTGTCATAATTAGCAGCTGTTCCAGCACTTCGTCTGAAATCTAAATGTGTGGGAGCCATCCCTTTCAGGCCTGCCTTTTAATGGTCCGAGTACTATATTGCCTGATTAAAGCTTGATAAATCTCTTAGGCAGCTGGCTGACCAAATGCAAGAAGTGGATGCACAGAATCAATGAGTCTCTTTATGTGGAAATTAAGGAGAGCTGGTGTGGTGTCATGAAACAGGACAACCCCGGTTCAGAACTTTGTTCAGGTACATGAAGTGCTTTGACCTTGGGACAGTTACTATTTCTCAGCCTAGCCAACTTTACAGGGTTGTTTTGGGGATAAAATTTGGACGAGGAAAAAATAATAATAAGCAGCCCATACTTTATCTGCCTTCTCCTGATTTTTAAAGTCCAGTTCCATTTCACAGAAATTGTAGGTACATTTCTTTAAATGCTATGTATATGTGTTTTTGCGTTGTATGGTAGCCATCCCCATCGTTTGTATCTGTACATGGTTTCATATTCCTATGGAAGACATTAGGGGACGCGGGTGGCGCTGTGGGTAAAACCTCAGTGCCTAGGACCTGCTGATCGTAAGGTCGGCGGTTCGAATCCCTGTGGCGGGGTGAGCTCCCGTCGTTCAGTCCCAGCTGCTGCCCACCTAGCAGTTCAAAAGCACCCCTAAGTACAAGTAGATAAATAGGTACCGCTTTATAGCGGGAAGGTAAACGGCGTTTCCGTGTGCGGCGCTGGTGCTGGCTCGCCAGCTGCTGCTTCGTCACGCTGGCCACGTGACCCGGAAGTGTCTTCGGATGGCGCCGGCTCCCGGCCTCTTGAGCGAGATGAGCGCGCAACCCTAGAGTCGGACACGACTGGCCCGTACGGGCAGGGGTACCTTTACCTTTACCTTATGGAAGACATTAAGGCAAGACAGATAGAGAGGTATGTGTTTCTCATGTTGTAAGAAATGCTGCAGATACATTTGTGGCACAGGTGTTTGTCTGCTCATCTCTAGAAGATGTGAAGCATCCTAGGGATGTGGAATTTCCACTCGGGACATCATCTTATCAGAGTGCCTCCTTGCTGTGTCACACTCACTTGGGTTCCAGTTTGCAGCCAACTGGGTGAGAGACTATCAAGAACCATTCTAAGTGTGCTTGGGACTGATATCCAGGAAAGGCTTATTCATACTGAAAGAATGGACAACCAAAATAGGCCATAAGCATTCGTTGCTTTACATCACAATCCCGTGCATGTTTACTCACATACAAGTTCCACTGTGCTCAGTGAGGCTCACTCCCCAGTTGTACAGTTAAATAGCCTGGATTTTTTCATGTTGATCATAGGGCCCGGCTCCTAAAGCTGTAGCTCCATCACTGTTCACTGGTCCATTGTGGAAGCATAAGAAAAGTGCTGCTAGGGCAGACCATAGGTCCATCTAGTCAAGTGTTCTGCTTCCCAAAATGAACAATAAGATGCCTCTGGGAAGCCCACAGGAAGGTTTTCAACCTCTCTTCCTAATAGTTGCTCACCATCAACTGGAATTCAGAGGCATAGAATCCCAAACATGGAAAGCTCCATGTTGAGAAACATCTCCTCTCTGGATTAGTGTGATCTCGTGGCAGTGAATTCCATAAATCAATTCTTCACCTTCTTCATGTTCTGTGACTGCACAGCCAGTCACATGAGGACCTAAAGCAGAGCAGGGGAACCTGCAGCCCTCCAGATATTGTTGTCCTACAACTCCCATCTTCCCTGACCAGTGGACTCAGTGGCTGTGGCTGATGGGGTCTAACAACATGTGGACGGCCATAGGTCCCCTGTCTCTCTTCTGACGACACTTAGATCTGCAGCTCAATCCTGTACATTAACACCAAGATTCCCTGCACCATTTATTCACCGACTCTCGCAACTCATACCACTCTTCTGTTAAGGCCCAGTGGAAAATTCACAGCCACACACTGAGGTCAGTTTTCAATCGGTGCCGTTTGTCTCATGTCAGGAAAGCTCAACTTACATGGGCAAAAAATGTCATCAGGACCAACAGCTGAGGGAGAGAAGCAATTTATGGTTTTAATATCAACACCAATCTAGTATTGTCTAAGACAAGACAGCAATATCGAACCTCTCCGCAACTTAACCCAGCCGTCGCCAGCTGAGTATTTTCCACTGTTAAGCTGGTATACAGTGTTCCTTTGTAGTATCAGGGTGAAAAGTTGAGTTGTAAACATTTCTGCACTCTCTGGTGGGTGGCAGGTCTGTTATTTTAAGGTTATTGGGGTACGCTGCTACATTCCTGTCACTGGGGTGAGAATAAATAGAAGCAATACTGCGGGAGATAGAATGTACTTAATTATTTATTTGAGCATTACAGACTGAAATTGCTTTTTGATTTAAAGCGTCCAAGCCACGGCTGCGTTTTTGGAGTTGAGAGAGAAGCTACGTGCTCATCCCATTACCTAGGGTAGCATAAATGTCTCTGTGCAACTGCCATTCCTTGGTAGAATTGGTTCATTTCCTGAAAATATTTCACATTTTAAATGCAGCACAATTAAATATTCTGGAACGTTAACAGCGTGTGAGGGCTTAAAAGGGGGGAGGGAGGGAGGGAGGGAAAGCCCTTAAACAACAAACAATTTCTTCTCACTAGTATAAATGTTATAGAAAGAATGGTTTGTTTTCTTTAATTATAGAGTATATATTGGGAGAGTTCTGAGGGGGTCTTGTAACAAGGAGAGAAAAATAACCAACATGCACTGTTCTGCCTCAGCAGACAAGTTTTACATGTTCGGTTTGTGTGAAAGTCAATTAAAAGAGGCTATCGGGTTATGAGCAAAGGCATTTAATAAATAATTCCAACCTTTGACTAATAACAGTTTATATTACCTTGAGCTAAAAGAATTTTTAAAAAGAAAAACTGAATGGGCTCTTCATCTTTTCCCATGATTGTTTACCTTTCCCTCTCATTCGTTTCAATAAACATTTGCTTCTGGCTAGACTCCCTTTGTGCTCCCGAGTTTAGATTTACAGTTTAGTAAGGGCCGCAGCTCAGTGGCAGAACATCTGCTTTGCACGCAGAAGGCTCCAGGTTGAATACCTGGCATCTCCAAGTAGGGCTGGAAGAGAACCCTGTCTGAAAACCCTGGAGAGCTGCTGCCAGTCAGTGGGGACATAAATCATGTTATTTATGTAGCTCTAGTACTGACCTGCCCATGAATTACACCCAGAGTGTGCAGCCAGGACTCATCTGCAAACACCCCCACCCAGCAAAACTTCCATTTACACTCACTGCTGCTATTGAAAGGCAAATCTATTCTGATGCTTTGTGTATTTGTGACTCTCTCTTTTTTTTAATGCCACTGGATTCTCTGTTACCTGCTTATCTTTTACACTCTTACAGCCACACACTTAACTTTTGAGAAACAGTTTGACAAGTTATCAATATTAATCTGCCTTTAGTTGTATAATAGCCCATTAGGGATTCCTGCAGGCAGGCAGAGTAACCCTGTGCTTGGTGCAGGTCACTGGCGTAATAGAGGCCAGACCAGCAATTGACAAGTAATTTGACAAGTCAGCGGGGGGGGGGAGCTTTGGGGGTGCCCGGATAAGAAGAAGGGGGTACTGGAGTTGCCCCCCACCATCCAGGTCATCTTGTGTTTCTTTCTCCTCAATCAATGAAAGTGATCAATGCCATCACAGCACACGCTTTAATTGCAGATGGGTCCAGTTTCCCTTTTGTGTGCAACCCTGATGCTGTCTAAAATTCTTGTGAATCAGTGATTTCCTTCTTGTGGAAGTGAGGTCAGCTGGAGCAGAGAGAATACTATTAACAAGCTGCGTTTCAGCCCCCCTGCAGACTGATGCACAGTTCTTTCCCCTGAAACCTTCCCCCAATCTTGGAATCATGGGGCGTGCGGTTGATGAGCAGGAAGCGCTCTCTCCCGATCAATCTGTGCGGCGAGCAGTAATAGTTCATTCTCCACAGCAATCCCAGGGTTGACATGTGGTATGTTTCAGTAATTGATTTTTATATTAGCTTCATTTTGAGATGTGTAAATCCCTATATTGCTCACAGCAGCCCGTCCTGTCCTATCCTGAGTGAATGAGGTTGGATCGTGGGGGCATCCTTCATGCCCTGACAACTCCTGCAATTTCATTTTTGCGTATAATTCATCCTAGAAATGCACACTCATGTGCGCGCGCACACACACACACACACCACAGTATAAGCTTCAGCCTCTGTTTATCTGATTGCTCTTCTGCCTGAGATTTACAACACTGTTAAGTTGATGCTGTTAATTGCACACCTTTCTACTGTGAAAGGACAAGTTTTTCAAAATGGGAGACACGGGCAGTTTCGTTGCTGCTGAAAGATGCTCGTTCCTCGCTGCCGCCATGCAAGAGCATTGTTTGTGGGCTGATGCATGTCGTTCCTAACATGGTGTGGTTTCTACTGTACTTCCCTGCAACATCGCCTGAGTAGTATTTGGACAGCATGGATTAAACGGGTGGTTGTTGTAAAACAAATATATAGACCACTTCACAGCATAAAGCCTTCATAGCGGTGTACGTGGTAAAAACAGAATAAAACACAGTGATACAAGCAACAGAAACAATAAAATCATTACAACAAACTCAAACAACAAAACTGTCCATACAGTCTCTGAAAACAATGAAACAATTTCATCAGATATAAAATTGATCATGTGGAACATTCCTACTGTCAGTGATACACCTTCCTAGATACCAAAGGTGCAGAAATGGAGCATGCAACCTGGATTTGTCCATGGTATGTAATTACGTTCTTGAATCATGATGGCAGGGCAGGCCTTACTGTTGTTGTTGTTGTTGTTGTTGTTGCTGCTGCTGCTGCTGCTGCTATACTTACATTTATTTATATCCCATTCTTTTCCCCTGACAAGAACTCAAAAGTGGCCTACAGCTAAAATAGAAACAGCTAAAAACAGAAAAAAACAATCATTAAAATATAATTAGTCATTACTAGAATGTTCATGTGTGTGTATAAGATCTATTACAACATACAGATCATTACAGTAAAAACAAAAACCTAACAGCACCAGCCCTTTCCTTAAAAATAGTCAGTTCCCCAAAGCCTTTTGGAACAAGGAAGTTTCTACCTGCCAGCGGAGGGACAAGGAGGGAGCCACTCTTAATTTCTCTAGGAAGGGAAATTCTGGGAGCAGCCACTGAGAAGGCCCTCTCAAGAGATGAGGCAAGGTGAGATTTGGGGTGTCATAAAAGGGCTGCAAAGTATTATTTACTTTTGTAATTTTACTCGGAGTTGGAGACATTATTGTGAGATTTTATGCCCCGATTGCCAGAACAAGTTGACTGATCTTGACTTTGGTGGGTGGGTGGGTGGGTGATTGCTGCTTTGCCTCAAGCAGCAAATAGTCTTGGACAAGCCCTGCCAGCATGACATTGGATCCAAATCCACATTTGGGTGTCTGAGGTTAGAAAAACGGCCCCATCCCAGTAAAATCAATAATAGTAAATTAAATTAGTTCAGTATTTAAACACTGTGTTTTTATTGTTTAAAATTACCTTATGTGCACACAATCAAAGTCAAGCAGGTTTTAGACTTTTTAAATAAATTAAAAGGACAGGAGGTTTTGACTCCTCAGTGGATTTAGTTCCAGTAGCAATTCTACAATAGTCGTGAATAGTTGTGTACATTGTGTCCTTCTCCTACCATACGTGATAGAGAGCAGCTTTGGCTGTGAAAATTCTGTCCTGTCACTTTAGTTCTAACTATGGCTTACAGCCTCTGTGGTTTGTGGTCACATAACTACTAACGATAGTTGCAATGAATGCAGGTGGCATATCAGCCACGGTCCAAACTCTGTTATGTGTGATGTAGGAATCTTACTGGGTTGGGTCTTGTAGCTTCATGTGCTCACAGGCAGGGCTTCCATAGTCAGCCGGGGCGAGTGGAGCTCTACAAGAAGACCCTTGGGGTCCCTTCCAACGCTATAATTCTGTGGTGTGCGGGAGACACTCGCCTGGTGTCACCAACAGTGGGAGAGCCCTGCTTGCTTGCACAGCTCTCAGTCATTGGGTCACAGACATTCTGTGCTTTAATAATAAGCAAAGCTGTCTTTCTAGTAGACCCATGGACAGATGTTTTCATCTTTTAAAAAAAAACCCACAAACAGACCACCTCTTTGGTTCCAAATGTGTGAATTCGGACGCATTCCTGCTTCAAGCATTTACTTAGCCAAGGAAATGTTCTCCTTTCCTCACCCTGTGGGCCTGTACTGTTCAAGATGCCACCCAGGTGTCTAGCATAGATCAGCAGCTTGCTGAGTCTACTTCTGTTGCTGCTGGCAAGGTTGCCTTTGTGCTTTCCTTCCAGGCTTCCTATGTGTAATTTTAAACAAACAGAGCAGGGTGTTGTCATTTTGGAGGGGTTTCCCATCAAGCGGTGTTAGATGGTATGCAGGCAGGTTGGCAGACTAGGTTGGGGGCTTTATTTTATTTATACCCAGATGCATATTCTGTCTCCCCCGCGTCCCTCTCTTTTGTGAACAAGACCAGTCAGATCTGATTTCTCCGAAGCTTTGACTGGCACCATTGCTGATTGCCCATGAAAATGCTTGAGCTGCCAACAAGGTTGCAGATTTCACCGTCCAGCCATGCCAGAGGAACTGCTGCTCAGAAAAATTCCTGACATCGTTTCATATTCTGGGCGCTGGGCAACAGTAAACATATAAGCATGCGTTCCCTTTGCATCTGAAAAGTGGGGCAGAGAGAAACCGACATTTCCCAAGTTTCCGTTTCATAGAAATCCATGGTTGGGGCACACCCCCAGACCTCATGCAAGTCTCATTTGCTTTGCCTCATAATGTGAACTCTGCGGCTACCTAGTGGGAAACTGCTTCCCTCTGTCCAGTTTTGGAAACACTCACCTCTTACTATTTCATCCAAGAAGCACAACATGCCTGCTGGGGACAGATACACTGCTAGACCAGTCTGCGTGTGCGAGAGAGAGAAACGCCTGCTTCCCTCCTCTCCTCCTCCTCCTAGATCACCGCTGAAAATGCACGAGCCAGCTATTAAATAATTAACGTGCCCAATGGGACGAGGGGAATCAAAAGCTGTTGTGTTCCAAAGTTTTCTCTGGCTCTGAAAAGCACAGTTCACTGTGTATTCTGGCACCTTGGAGCGGGATTTCATCCCCCCCCCCTTCTGCTCCCCTGTTATTATCCCCTATGTGCGCTGGACCGGGAAGTGGCGTTCCCAGCCCAGTGGGGGACGTCTGTTATTTCAGACCAGGAATGGGGGGGGCAGCCTGTTGCCTGATTGATGTTTGTTTTTCATGGACAGACACCAAACGTTCATTGGAGCAAGGGAAGGCTTGAGGGACGGAGGGGGAGCGAGCTCTCTTAAGGAGCTATTGTGCTCACATGCCCTCCTCTTTCTTGACTTCTGTGAATGTCTTGGCTGTTCTGCTTGGGCTCTGGTGACTTAAATAAAATATACACACCTTGGAGAGATTTCAGGAAGGGCTTTGTTGGGTAAGGGAGCAAAGGAAGAGGAAAAAGACAATCCAGTTTAATTTTACAGTAATTAATTTCGCATGTGCTCTCTTTCCCACTGGTGCCTTATTGGGTTTCAGAGAGGAACACTGGAGGCAAGCAATGATTTGTGTGGAGGAGCCACACAGTGTAATGTCTAGCCCGTTCTAACTCCTGTGGCTTTTTGAACGCATGGTACACTTCAGCTTTGGTTTAGGAAAAGGGAGTTGCCTGTGACACACATGTAGAGTGGGAGAGAAGCAGGCCTGGAATCGGCAATGTGGGAAGAGCATATCAGATTTAACATTCTGCAAGGCCTGCGGATTCCAACTGCATCCTGCCTCTCCGTTGGGTCTGGTGCCTCTTGTGTCCTGTCTGGCAGTAGCCCTCTCAACTCAATTGCGGGTTTCCATAGTCACAGTCCTCGTACCATTGCTTGCGTCAGAAGCCAAGCATGATACCATAAGCAGGCTGTTCAAAAATACTAGAGTGCCTAGGCCTTGCTTATTTGCCTCCACCTTAAAACAGGTTCCCTGAATGCGTGAGCCAAAACGTCTCTAAGCATTTAGGCATCACTCGATAATGATGAGTTGTAAGAACTTCCTGTCACAGACCTGTAGATATTTTGCATAGTGTTTTAAAGCTATTTTAAGTGTGTCTGTTAAGCCCCCATCATAGATATTTGTTACCCATACCCTGGTGCATATTTCAAATTGTGGATTAATTACAATTTAAGTATCCTTTTCTATTGTCAGTTGAGGTTAAACGATGGCAAAAGGGGTTTCTCCTTCCATCCCTCCCTCTTTTAGTGTGTTTGTGGCAGTTTTAATGAGCATTAGTGATTGTGAATGTAGAACCAGATTGTGGTGGGTATATTGATTAAGTAAAGAAGATTTTTTAAAAAAATGTATGCTGTCTTTGCATCCAGAGATGCAAGAGGCCTGTAACAAAGGCAACTGTTCACTTTCAAGTGTTCCTGTAGGACATAAATATTTTAACAGTGCTTGCATATTCAGTTCCCAGGGAAAAGGGGGCCTTGCTATTTATGAAGCTTGGGTATAGTGATGAAGGCTGGCTTTTATATCCTCCCAAAGAGATTGGTTGTAGCCCATGGTATTCAGGGACATTTAGAAAGGACACCTTTTAAATAGGAGTTTTGAACATTCTTTCCCATTCCAACTAAATTCAGGATTGATTGAGGATATTGCAGTTTTCTGTTTGTATTTAGTACTGTAATATTCAACCTGAAGCAAAGAGGAAGCGTCACATCAGAAGGGATTGTGCATACCTGGTTGTTCAAGTGACATGGGTACATGCTGGTGTTTGATATTTGTCCTCTGCACTGCTGTGCAGATTAACAGAGGCATAGAAGAATCACTGTTGTATCGACATCTCCAGAAATCCATTTCAGAACTAATGTACGGAAGTACCATGCTGTAACTTGCTTTTCTAGAAGAGTAGTCATGTTCGCCTGTAACCAAAACAGTAAATATTCATGTGCCAACTTAAAGACATGTCAATGTATTGCGATATTCCATATGTACCCAGTGGCCTGGTCAGTTAGTTATTTGGTTGGTTGGTTGGTTGGTTGGTTGGTAGGTAGATATTTGCATCAACCACTAGCCTTTTCATATTTGGGCATCAAATACAAACAGATACAGATAAATTAAAAGACCAGCAATTGCAATTTGTGTACAAAATATAAACAAAAGAAAACTACCAAGTAGATGAAATTGCCAAGGTCAATTAGAATTTAAAAATTAGGCAATTTAATACTCCAGGGTTGATAAATATATATTTATAACTTTACAAAAATGTATGTGTGGTCCAATCATTGGAGGTATGCCTCAGTTTCACTGGAACCTAAGAAGTCCTTCATATCTACACACACCCATCTCAGACAAAATTACTTGGCATAATTTATTCAAAATGCTATGGTCTAGCAGCAGCCCGTGGGCTTCCAAAGGCTCTGTACAGTCACTTTGGCTTCAGAGAGGAGAATGCAGGGGTTGTGGTCTTGCTCTGAGTCAGTGGCCACCGGCATTTGAAGCACCATTGACATGACTATCTGGCACTTGAGGCTGTGGAGACAGAGGAGGTAGTGAGATGTCTATAGGGGCAAGGGCAGTGTTAGAAACTCAGATATAGAAGCTAGGCACAAAATGGCACCTTAAACCTAGGTTGCGGTCGACACAACAGAATGTCTATTCGCCGGGGGGTTGAACTAGATGATCCTTGGGATCACTTCTGGCACTACATTTCTATGATTTCTATGATCTCAGCACCACTTCTTGACTGTCATGAGAGGGACAAGGGGAAGTGTTAGCCTGTTACTTCAGATGATCTTTCAGAATACCATTTTGACCAAGGTATCCTCCTGGACCAACTTAGCAAGATGGGTATTGGAGGCACTGTATTACAGTGGTGCCATTTGTATCTTTAAGGTCATGTTCATAGAGTAGCACTGGGTGTATGTTCCTCGTCATTTGTGCTGTGGGGTTCCATATCGTACTGTTCTCTCCCCAGTGCTATTTAATATTTATATGAAGCTGTTGGGTATGGTCATTAGGAGTTTTGGAGTGAGGCGTCATCAGTATGCTGATGACACAACAGCTCTACTTCGGCATAACATCTGAATCAGGAGAGGCTGTGAAAGCTTTGGACCGGTGTCTGGATGCGATGGTAGACTGGATGAGGGCCAATAAATGGTGTTTGAATTCTGGGAAGACAGAAGCTGTTTGGCAGGTGGCTCCCACGTTCAGGAAATTGGCAAATTGCCTGTTCTGGATGGGGTTGTGCACCCTCTGAAGGTGCAAGTGCGTAGTTTGAAGGTATTACTGGATACATCTTTGTCACCCAGGTGTACTCTGTGAATCAGAGTGCCTTTTACCAGCTTCGTCTAGTCTACCAACTAATGCCATTCCTGGACAGGCATAGCCTTACCACAGTAGTTCATGCATTGGTAACCTCAAGGCTAGATTACTGTAATGCACTCTATATGGGGCTACCATTGGGTCTTGTTCGGAAGCTCCAGCTGGTGCAGAAAACTGCAACCAGATTGCTGATGGGAGCATCTGGTGGAGAACATGTGACACCATTGTCAAAACAGACTGCCCTTCTGCTACTGAGTCAGGTTCAAGGTTCTTCTATTGATTTACACAGCACTGAGCCCTAAGGGTTCACCTGAACCCTTATATCTCACCTAGATCTCTTATATCATCTGTGAGAGCATCCTTGGTCATTCCCAGTAGATGAAGCTCTTTTGACATCAACAATAAATTGGGCTGTTAGTGTCATCAGCCCAGTCCTGTAGAATGAAAGAAAGACCATTGTGCCATGGCAACAATTTTGCAAGGCCAATGAGGGGGTAGCTCTTTCAACGCTGTAATTCTCGCCCCACCTTTCATTTCAAAACAACAGCAACAATGTCCAGTTGTTGAATGCTGACACAGTGTAGCTGGTTTGCTGCAGCTGTGCCCTACAGGTGCTGCTCCACAATCTTGATTATAATCACTGCAATTCTGAATACATAGCCTTATCCTTGCTGAGGTTGTTTCCCTCAGCCTGAAAAGTAGGGTGTGGGGTGCAGAAGGGAGATTGGCTTGATTTCTCCCCTCCATTTTCTTTCAGCAGTGAAAACAAACCACAATGAAAGAGTATTTGGAAGCCTCAGGGCTTCTGGTACCACAGGAGAAGCTGGGAACCAGAGTCCTACATTTACCCTTCAGGGAGCCAAGCAGTTAATAAAATTTGACTGTAAATGTGCAAGCAGAGACTTGTCTTTTTTCCTTGATGATGCAGGAAAGGTAGCTGTCTTCCTCTTTTCTCAGATCTGCATCATCCAGATGCACTGTGTGGTGATATTCTGAACCCACACACCAAAGCAGCAGATGTGCTCAGCATCTAGAGTTACATCTCTGCGTGCTTAAAAAGGCTGTGCAAACAAATAATTTTATTTTCAACATTTCCTTTAAAAATAAAATTATTCTACCTTTCTTAGCCACTTGATAATTTCTTCCTTTCCTTTTTTCTAATCCTATCTTGGTTCTTTTATTATTATTATTATTATTATTATTATTATTATTATTATTATTTAAAGGAAAGTAACAAAGGAGGATAGAGCAACAAGAATTCTTGTTTTGGAATTCATGAGGGATGAGCAAGGACAAGAAATACCCAAGGGGAGAGGAGTGTTAAAAGAAGTTGTTTTGTTTCTTTCCTTGTAGAGCATCAAAATGCCCGAGGCGTGAAGATACTCTTCAAATTACATTTTAACATTTGGATGTCTTGTTTCTAGTATTTTATTAAACATAGGGGAGTCAGTCCCAATAGTCAGAGAGGAAGAACATGATATACAGTGGACTTCAAGCATCCTGATTTGGAAATCAGAGCATGGCTTGTTTCACAAGGAAAAGAGGAAGGGCTTGCTTCTTATCCTGAAAAGAAATAAGCATACAGTATTTTGACCAAAAGGATGAGCACATTCGGTAGAGCCCCCAGGTTCAGTCCTTGGTAAAGGTAAAGGTACACCTGCCCGTACGGGCCAGTCTTGACAGACTCTAGGGTTGTGCGCTCATCTCACTCTAGAGGCCGGGAGCCGGCGCCGTCCGCAGACACTTCCAGGTCACGTGGCCAGCATGACGAAGCCGCATCTGGCGA